TTATTTACTTTTGAGACAGAGAGAGACAGAGCATGAACGGGGGAGGGGCAGAGAGAGAGGGAGACACAGAATCGGAAGCTGGCTCCAGGCTCTGGGCCATCAGCCCAGAGCCCGACGCGGGGCTCGAACTCACGGACCGCGAGATCGTGACCTGAGCTGAAGTCGGACGCTTAACCGACTGAGCCACCCAGGCGCCCCGCTCTGGAAGTATTTTAAGTACCTGCTTCTAATTATCTGATTTGGATGAGGATGAAGTAATAATGCTTCTAACGTGGTTATCCCTTGCTCATTTTCCTCAACCCTTTCTGTAATAACTTTCTTATAAAATCTTTTAATCACCTACAGATCCAGATTTTATTAAATTTTGACTAAAGAGTGATACATCACAGTGATGATTCTTTTATTCTGTGTATTAAGTGTATCACCAGATCTTACAAAGTTTTAGTATTCCCTTTCAGAGCCTAGTGTGGTTCTTATGAATTGGGTAGACGCTGAATAAAACTTAGTTTAAGTTAGAGAATTGATGACCTAGTGATACCTTTCCCGCAACCTCCACTAATTCTTAATTCCTCGAAGAATTAGGAAGTAAACAAAAATGGCCTTAAGTAGCAAACATCCATAGGTAGAACTTATATACTTTACTTACATAAAGCATTTCAGGGGCGCCTAGGTGATTCAGTCAGTTAAGCATCAGACTCTTGATTTTGGCTCAGGTCATGATCTCCCAGCTCATGAGATTGAACCCTGTGTCAAGCTCTGTGCTGACCGCACAGAGCCTTCTTGGACTTCTTTCTCCCCCTCTCTGTCCCTCCCCTACTTGTTCTCTCTGAAAATAATGAGCTTTAAAAAAGAAAAAAAAAGCATTTTAGCCCCTTGTCACCTCTCAGATGCATTTTTTAAGTAGTACTTAAACCAGACAGATTGGCAAGGTCCCAGCCCCAGCCAATAGTATGTTATTGAGGTGGGACAGGGCGATAATGATGGTGGGCCGATACGAATATGTAGTAATGGCAGTGTGGCAAGAGGAAAGACAAATACTCAAATCCAAACTGCACTTAGAAATAGCTTGAGCCCACTTTAATCTTAGATTGGTCTATACACTTTATCGTTTTTTTTAAAAGGAATTATGATAATCAAATTGTAAAACATTTGGAGAGACATTCTGTCAAAAGTGATTTGCGGTATTTTGGGTATGTAAAGATGAGATTTTAGGTTATCTTGAGGCATTTGCTTTATATAAGTTGCTTTTACTTTGGGAAAGTTAATTAAATGACTTAATGTTCCCTAATTTCAAAGACCCTGTTTGAGACAAAGTATAAATTATAATTGTGTCATTTTAATCTATCCATGTGTATATACTTTGCTTTTGTTTTATCAGCTGTGAGTTAGTGTATAAGAAAACAGGTTCTGGAGTTAGATCTATTTGAATCTCACTATTTTGTTATGTGGCTGTGAACAGAATACCTCTTGAGCCTTAGTTTCCTCATATATTCATGAAATAGTTAACTGAGCAACAACTGTGCACAGTGATATTTAGGGGTTAGGGATATTAACAGTGCACTTAAGAGTGTCAAAAAAAAAGTTCTGTCCTTGTGGAACTTCCATTCTAGCTGGGAGAGACAATAAAATAATAACATTTATATTCTAAAGGTTTTTTGTTTTGTTTTTTAAGATTAAGGCAATGCATATAAAGTTTCCTATCTATACTGTGCGATAAATCAGGGCATCTTACATTTGGTGTTTGATTCTTCTCGTGACTGGTTTCATGTTGGGATACAGTGAAGTTTGTTGAGTGTATTGGTTATCTAAAAAATTGATAATTAGTAATTTTTCATTGGAGATGTTGAGTACATTAATTTTCTCTAATTTTGCTGGGTACAGAGGATTTAGAGAGATGGCATCAATATATGTTCTTTGCTTTCCTTTCTAACAGCCACCAAAAAAGACCTCTAAAAGAGAAAAACCTAAACAGAAAGCCACTTCCAAAAGTAAGAAAACTGTAAAAAGCGCTAATGTTAAGAAGGCAGATAGCAGCACCACCAAGAAGAATCAAAACAGTTCCAAAAAAGGTAGGTTAGAAATGACACCTTTTCAACAGCTCTAAAGATCTAATTCATATGATATAAGCGTTTTGAAGTATGTTTGGAAATTAGATAAACTGCAAAGAAAATTGGGAGAAAGTGGTATACCAGTTTTTTATGGTTACAGTTTTTCAGAATTGACAAATTTCAATGCATGTTTTATAAGTAATTTATTGAGTAGTGATTTATAATTTTATGTAATACTCCTTTGAAAATCTAATGAATGCTTGTCTTACTTTCAGAAAGTGAATCTGAAGACAGTTCAGATGATGAACCTTTAATTAAAAAATTGAAGAAACCTCCTACAGATGAAGAGTTAAAGGAAACAGTGAAGAAATTACTGGCCAGTGCCAACTTGGAGGAAGTCACAATGAAGCAGATTTGCAAGGAGGTAATTGGACAAATACTTGGATCATTTTGCTTTTATTTGAAAAATTCTTTCACTCTTCCCTCAGTTCAGTGCGAGATTTGTATGTGCATTCATTAGCGAACAAATGTCTGTGGAACTGTTCTGTGCCCGGCATTCCTGCGGGTGCTGGGATACTGCTTTAAATGAGTCAGTCTCTGCCCTGTTGGACCTGCTTCGTAAACAACAGTGGGATGTATCCAGTGAATACAGTGAAGGCGATAGATTCCAGACTTGAGGGAGAACACTCTCTTCCTGATCGGGACACTTTTTATTGATGGATCCTTAGATTGCGTTAGTTGTAAAAAGCAGAGTCTCATGGACCACCGTATTTTCAGCATTACTGTTGTACTAAGATGCTGTTATCAGGTACTTAGTTCAGACTTCTGTGAAGTTTTCCTGATACTCAGAAAATAAAATGACCTAGTCTTGAAGAGGATTCCTTAGAGATTCTATACCCAAAATCAAAATTGGGAGATTTTACAATCTGGTTTCTGATGGTAAAACCAAATTAAAATTTCAAATGTACCTAAGGTGACATGCTCTGTACTTTTGTTAAGACCTTGATTATTGTTTTGTTTATTCATTCAGCATTCACTGAGCCTCTCCTGTGTACCGGACACCGGGATAGATTTGGGGGTAGAGCTGGGGATCTGTTAACTTGGCTGTTGGGGGCTTACTGATCAGTGAGATGGGAGGAGATGGCTATTGTAGTGAGTTGGGGACAGTCGGTGGGGGTTGGGCTGGAAGTGCGGAGGGCGCCGCACCACCAGGGAAGGAGCCTGGGAGGAGGGAAGACGTCCTGGAGCTTCAGCTGCTCCATACAGGGGAGCGGTACTGACACATGCCTGTCAGATGGGACAGTGACTGCGAGGAATAGTAATTTCATTTGGGTGAAGACTAGAGTTGGAAGGAAGTCTTCATAGATGTTAGGTAAGAAAAGGAGAACTTTTGCAGATCTTGTATATGCCTTGTTGCAGAGTTTAGTTTTTTCCCTGAAACTGATGGGAGAATTGGGAAGCTGGGTAGGATATTGGGAGCTGATTGATAGGGGCATACGCAGTCCCAATTTTCAAGAGCCCTCATGGACACACTGAGAAGACGGGATGAAGAATGGGATGCGAGGCAAGAAAGCCAAGTTTGTCATAATCTAAGTTGCAGGATGGCCGTAATCCAAGGCGAGCCGGGAGAGCTTGGTCAGAGGTTGCTCAGTGTGGGTGTTCGGGCGTGGCAGCATTAACCTTCCGATGGAAAACAACAGAGGGTACCCTCTGAGGAAAAGAGGAGTTTCGTTCTAGACATCGTGAGATGAGGTACTTAGAACATCCCAGTGGGAGAAACTGTGATCATTGTAATTCTCCCAAGTTTGGAGAGAGAGCCAAACTGGGCTACTGCTGGGAGTTAAAACCAAAAGTCTAGATAAGGTGGCCCAGGGAAGAAGAAAAAGGGTGAGAAAAGCAAAGGACAGAGAGTCCTGGAGACTCTGAGTTGAGAAGTAATTTCTACAAAATATAAAAAATCGTAGAGAGAAAGGTGCTGTCAAAGCCAAGAGACGAGACAGTTTCCAGAATGGTCGGGAGGGGGTAGTGCCAGTTAAGAAAAGGTCATGACTTTACCTGAGACAATGGGCAATGGTTATGGAAAGCAGCTCACAGGGGGAATAACATAAAATGCCCTGTAAACATGAAGACACGCTTTCCCTACTAATGAGGAAGATAGAAATTGAAAGGAAATATTTGTGCTTCTTAGCTTGACAGAATCTTTATAAAGATTAAGCGAGTCTTCATGCTTGGCAAAGGTATAGGGAGACATACTCATGCATGAAGTTGTAACAGCTTTGGAGAACAATTAAGTAGTAGCTTAAAATTTAAATTGCAAATGCCCTTTAACCTAGCAAATTCCATTTCTAGGTCTCTATGCTAAAGACATAGTCACATCTGCACAAAATGATTACAATAATGTTCAGCATGTCTGTAATATTGAAAAATCAGAAACAACCTAAATGGCCATCGATAGGGAAATGTTTAACATGGTACGTCTGTATTTTTGGAATGCTATGTAGCAGTTCAAAAGAACACGGAAAAACGTTCCAGGTATTGTCAACTTTTTGAAAAATCTAGAATATTATCCTATCTAAGTAAATACGGGAAAACCATATTGCCATTGATGTATCTATGAGTTTGTGTAGAAACTCATTTTTAAAGGTCTGGAAGAATGCACAGCAAACTGATAACTGGCTTCCTCTGAGGGGAGAGACGAGGGAAGAGTAAAGGGAGATGAGTCCTATGCGTTTGATTTTCGTGAATACACTTACATAATTTTTTAAGGGGATTATTTAACAGGGAGAGGTCCAGTGAGAAAGACTTGCGTGGTTTTTTGGACTCCGCAATTAGAAGATGATTGTTCACGTAATAAGAGCAGTTCCACGGATGATAAATGCAGGGATTAATTACCCTTGGATCAAGAATTAATAGTGAGGAAAGTGAATAAAGCTGTTTTAAACATCTTGCTGTAGAAGGGAAATCGCAGTTAAATGGGGGGTGAGGATACAAGTTGATAAAATAAGGTCAGGGAGAGAAAGCACATGCTTATGTTAGGCTGAGGGACTAGTGCTGGGGAAGGAGGAGAAGCTGATGTACAGGAGAGTTCCAGAAAGGGCCCCTGCAGAGGTAACGGAAATGGGAATATTGATGGATCCACATTCAGTAAACTGGAGGGGAAGATAGGTCAACATTGAAGGAATCCTTGGCCAAGAGCAAGAGGGAGGGAGGGATGAAAATGCCATTGATAGCACAGGAGGACCTGCTGAGAGAGAGTCGGGTTAACCCCGGGAAGGCTCGGACATTGGATACCATGAACTTGGCATGGGACCAGTCTTTTAAAAGTTCTCTGTTCCCACAGCAGTCTTTCCTCTGGATCAATCATAGAAAAAGTGGTGTTAGACCAGTTGAGGGACAGAGTTTTGCAGGGAAGTAACAAGGGGTGAATGACAGGAGTGATGTAAATGATCGACTCTGTTTGCAGGACTTGGCAGACCGCAGCCTGTGGGCCAAATCCCTCTTACCATCTGGTTTTGTAAATAGTTTAATGTGACAACAGCCACATCCATTCATTCAAGTGTTGTCTGTGGCAGCTTTCATGCTACAGTGGCACAGTTGAGTAGTTGTGACAAACTGTGTTCCTGGAAAAGCTGAAACCACTTACTGTCTGGCCCTTGACTGAAAAAGTTTGCTTACCTTAACTAGTCCTTAGGAGCGAAGCAGGCAGGCTTGTGTGGAGTCAGGCCGGGGAGTGATTGTGAAGTCAAGCAGGTGGCAAGTTGACCAAAGAGAGGGGCCGTTTAGAGAGTAAAGCTGTAGGGGTAGAGGACCCCTGAGACCACCTGGATCTCAGTTATTTAACTTAGGGGACGGGGTGGAGCAGTGCAGCGGAGGCTGAAGTTCATTCGAGTTCAGGTCGAGGAACTGTCAGTGTTGGATGATGGAAGGAAGAACGTAAGGATACCTCCACGGAACATCTGGCCGACAGCCTGCCGGTATAATGAATTCAGTCCACTTACCTACCATCTCTGTGTAGGTGTTTTCCTCGCCTGTGTGTGTTAATTCAGCTGATACTCCCAGTAGTAGAGATGACACTGAGAATGGCTGCGTCCTAGTTTAGTTTCTGCTCGTTTGCAGTAGTTGTATATGGTGAACCAGAATTCTTAGAACAGACGTGCCGCTATTTGTACACGGCCTACATTTCTTCTGTATCCAAAGGTAAACTGTGTTACTACTGTATTTTTAAATCTACTTTTAATTTTCACTATAGGTGTATGAAAATTATCCTGCTTATGATTTAACTGAAAGAAAAGATTTCATAAAAACAACTGTTAAAGAGGTAAATACATCCACCTTTTCTGATTTTGGTCATTTTGAATGTATAAGACAAATTATATATCAAATACTGTATGTTTTTCAAAATGTTCATGTCACTATATCACATTTGACCCTCAGATTTTCTCAAAATAGATGGGCAAAATATTTTTCATTCTCATTATAGAGTTTAAAAAAATAAAGTCTGAATATTAGTGACAAAACTTGACCTCCAGCTCACAACATACATGGGCAGCGAGGCTCAACACAGGTGCTCACACAACTACTGGAGCGTAATTCCTTTCCACCGAAGTCAGAAGATCAGCAGTAGCTATATTTTTGTATCGGTCCCAACAGATTTCCCAAGGTCACAGTAGTAAAACAGAAGTTTTAAAGGGAAGGTGGGGTATGATTTTTGTGTTCTTAATACTGTATTTTGGGTAGAGGAAAATGACGTTTCTCTCTCGTTGCAGCTGATTTCTTGAGGCAGAGGAGATAACTTGTCCCGTGGACGTCAGGATCTGATTTATACCGTTATACCAGCAAAGAGAATGTATTTCCTTTTCTACCCCTTGCAAGCGTTGTGTTAGTAGAACCTGTCGCTGATCTTTTTAAGTAAATTTGCGTTTGTTGTTTTAAATTGCATTTCTATGCAGTTTTTAGTTTAAAATTTTGCATGGCAGTAATTGTTCCTTGCTTTTATAGCTGTATTTTGTACATTTTGGATTTCTTTATATGAGATCGTAGTTTTAGCGTGCTTAGTATTCGCTTGTTTCAGACATACTTTTAACGAAGTAGAAGAAACTATTATTGACATTTATACATGCAGAGACTATGGCAGTATTTAGTAGATGAAATATTTTGAATACACATCTGACAGTGGCAGTGTGTTCATCATATTAAAAATATACAGGCTTCAGCTATCCAGATGATTAAATTGGAAAATTTCTGCTGCATGTGTATATATGTCAAATCGTCAGCATGACAAAAGTGACAGATGTTATTTTTGTATTTTTAAAAACAACTTTGTTGTATATAAAGTTTTTTTATTTCTTTTGTGCAGATCAATTTTTAAACTCCTATAGGTAGGTATCTTTACAGTTATAAACTATGAAATGTCAGTGTTCGGCCAGATGGTATGTGATGGAGCAGCGAAATCAGAATTCAGTGGAGAAAACACTGAAGGAACAGGTCGTTCTCTGCTTTGCCTCAGAAGTGTCAATTTGTAGTTTTAGTGTGAACTCTGGAAGTGTCTGTAGATAACATTTTATGTTAAGGGTAGACCAAATCAACACATCAGAACTTCAAAATTGGGGGAAGGGGATTAAGTACAAGCACATTTGGCTTCTAATGAACTTTTATTAACTGCTTTTACCCATGTAAAATGCGGATATTTACAGGAAACCTGGCCTTTATAATTATGGTAAACGTACCAAGTATAATGCTAGAAGATAACGTGTAGGCAACAGTGGGTATCTCCGACAAAGTATTTCTCAAAAGTGATAAAAAGACTTATTTTTAACATTAAAGAAGTTTAATGTATTCGTGGAATCAGGACTTTTAGGTTTTAAATTTTGGCCAATCAGGATTCTGGGTGATCAACACACAGACCACTCCTGAATTAGATTGTTTCATCTTTTACATTGTCGTAATCAGTTTATTAAATAATTTCTGAATTTTAAAAACATAACTGCTTATGGGAGAATTAGGCCTTTGATAAACCAGTTGAGCGTTTAAACGGAGAACATGAAATACATAAAAATGATAAATGTTGGCCGTTAGCAGGTACTTTCACAGGTCTGACGTGTTTCTTGATAAATACAAATGAATAAACAACTGAGACCTAAAAATTGGCCGTTGATTTTAAATATTTAATTTGTTCCTATAAACCTTGTCAATAAAACTAATAAATCCATGCTCTTGTCTCTTGTATTAATGTCTTCCGTTTCTGTAGCATTTCCCCCCTAGCTGAGGATTTCAGAACAGGGATTTTTGTTGATTTTGAGAGAGAAAAAGCACACAGTGGCGGGGCAGGAAGAGAGAGAATCCCAGGCAGGTTCTGCACTGTCAGCGCAGAGCCTGACGCGGGGCTCAAACTCACGAACCCATGAGATAGATCATGACCTGAGCGAAACCAAGAGTCAGACTCTTAAGCGACTGAGCCACCCAGGCGCCCCTGGATGGGGATTTTAATGGATTTAGCCCCATGACCCATTTAATTTGGAGTCGTTCAGTGATTGCTGAACACAAACTGAAGAAATCCTGAAGGAAAACTTGAAAGTGACCTCACAAAACTAAGTGATTACGGTTCACAACTTTATTTTATGACCATTTACTTGAAAGGGTGTAAGACCCAGGAGCTAAACAAGTCTGAAGGCGGCTTGCAGGAGAGGAGAGGAGATGGGTGGCGTGCATGAAAGGTCGTGGGGAAGGTGTACCCAGTGCTCACCACTACAGTGCACGGTATTTGAAAAACAAGTCTAGTTTTTATTAAGCAGTTTTACACAACCAGCTGTTCACAATCTGCAGTTAAAACATTGTGTAGTCACTGCTCTTCAATTACAAAATCTTCAAACTGTGAAAAACAGTCAAAAACTCAAAAGTACCGTGGTTCCTTAACAAAATGTCAAATGATGTCACTTGGGACAGGAAACTTTTTAAATACACATGTACTGCGCTTGAGCTAACTAGGGTTTTCCTTAGTTTGCTTGTGGCACAGTACAAGTTTAAGAGCCCAGAGACTAACCGTGAACCATTTCAAACTTAAAATATTTTGCATTTATCACTAAATACATGCTATTCTTTAAACAGTTTAACACATAACATTTTTAAAGCAGAATACTTCCCAGTCAGTACCAATGAGTCTCATCAGATAGTCTATCAACATTTTCCTATGTTAACCCAACTTTGAAACCAATTTACTGCTGTTTGCCTTCTTGTGTTTGTATCATACTTTGCTGAGGAGGGAGGTGTCTAAACCGTCTAACGTTTCCATAAAATTCTATTTCTACTTACAAGCTGACTTTAAATTTTAAAAATACCTAATATTCTGAAAAATGTCCTTTTGAGTCCTTTTTTCAGTGCAGACTAACATAATTGAAAGAACTGTTCAGACTTTTTAAAACAAAAGCATTTAAGTTACCATCCGCTTTTCTAACTTCTTGGCAAGATAAGCATCCTGAAGTCCCTGAAACCAGAGTTTAATTGAATTCTTTTGTCAGGAGGAGAAAAAAGGAAAAAGTGAATATGGGCCATGCTCTCCGGCTTTTAAGATATGGCTTTAAATGTGAAATATTTACCAGGAAATCTCACATTTTCTGCAGTTTTCCGGTGGACCTGCCTATGGAATACTGAAAACATCATGCTGCAAAAAACAGACTGGATCAGTTCTTTTAAAAAGAGGCAGTGGAGGGAGTTTTATTAAAGTATTCTGACAAGATCTTTTTGCCAGCAGTTGCCAAAATTAAGGCTAAAGTGTGCCATCGGACCAAACTTGGCTCTAAGAAAAATAGCCCTATTCTAAATGGTCTCAAGTATGAAGACTACTATCTCTACCCCATCGAAAACCACAGAATGCCTATACTGTTTGAGGAACTGAAAATTTTGCTGTTTGCCAATGAGTGCACAAATCTGAAATGTTTTATCACAAAAGAGACCCAAATTTAAATTTCTTTTGAATACCCAATGGAAAGAAATATGTACAATATAAAATAGTCTAGCAGCTTCATTTACTTTTAACTGAAGAGTTTGTGCTGTATCTGAAAGGGAAAGATTTCTATCTAAATTTTAAGTAAAAGCTCAATTTTGGAGCTATATAAAAATCTTAAGGCTCATTGGCAAAGATACTGATGAACTGTGACAGAAGAAAAACACATGGCTTTATCTGCCTTTTTAATGATTGCTGCTTGGTTTCTTGATGTTTGAAAACAATGGTTTCTCAATGCTTGAAAACTGATGAGCCAAACAAGATGTCAAAATTCAAAGGGAATCTCCAACCGTGGAAGAAATCCTGTCTTAATGTAAGGTTATATTCTGCTTTGTTCTGAAATACAGAAGACAGCCCTAGTCACACCTGTGGAAAATGCAATTAAATATAAGTGCTTACAAAAGGATTCTTGGGGCTAATGCTCTCAGGAGGAGGTTTTTTTTGTCTTGATTTTATGAAAGTGAGGTTTAACATGTGTTTCAAACTTTACCATTTGGAGCACAGAAGAAAGCTGGGTCCAGACAAATTCTATTCAGAATGCTGCAATCTTACTTGCTTCTCGAACACCACTCAAATATGCCCCTGTAACAGTTTGTGGGAAATGCCTGTTTGTTGCCTGTAAGAAAAAAATTGCATAATTTGAAATCACATAGAAAGAACTCAGGCGATCACCGAAACATAATACAAGCATACACTCTCTGATCCTCGAATCAAGACTGCCGGCAGGCGCTCCTCTGTGCTCATGTTAACACTCTACCTCCCCCCACCCCCACCCTGCACCTGCTGTTCTCTGGCTGTGCCACCCTGCTTCACCACTCCCGTGAAGGACTGAGTGGCACTCCTTAGGATATTACTCACATACACACCGTGTCCCGGAATTAAGAATAACGAAGACGATACAATCCCTGCCCGCCCCCACCGCTGCCCCCCAGACAAGTAGTCTCGCGGTCGGAATCAGTGATGAGCACAGAAAGCGAACCAATTCACCCATGGCTGGAGTTTTGCTAGAGGACTGCCACAGGACACAGAGGAGTCCGTCAACGGGGAGGGGACAGAAAGGTGGGGACTGTCCGTGGGAGAAGACCGCTCTCCAGGAGGTTGGAGTGGGAACAGAATCCGCAAACCAGGGCAAGCAGCAGATTGATCTGTGGCTTGGGGGTTGGTGGGGACGGCGACAAGGTCTGGGATGTAGCTATGGGAAAGAGTCACTGAAGCGGGGGTGAGTCGATCTCAGAAGATGGAGGAGGATAGGAAACGCAGGAAGTTCCACGTGAACTGAAGTATGTTCCACGTCACCTAGATTTACGGCTGGATGCAAGGGACAACAGCCAGTGCCAAACACTTCAGTAAATGGAGAGGAATGGTCAGGAGGTAAGAATACAATTACTGGGGTGCCGGAGTGGTTCCAGTCGGTTAAGCGTCTGACTCTTGGTCTTGGCTCAGGTTACAATCTCATGGTTCGTGGGTTCAAGCCCCGTGCTGGGGTCTGTGCTGATGGCACAGAGCCTGCTTGGGATTCTGTCTCCCTCTCTCTGTCCCTCCCCCTGGCTCTCTCTCAAAATAAACTTAAAAAATAAATACATAACATTAGAAAAAATATAATTACTAGTAGGGGGTAAAAAATGGCAGAAACCTCAGAGAAACGGCTTTAAAAATTTTTTAGGGGTGCCTGGGTGGCTCAGTCAGTTAAGCGTCTGACTTCGACTCACACTTCATGGGTTCGAGCCCCATGTCGGGCTCTGGGCTGACAGCTCAGGGCCTAGAGCCGGCTTCAGATTCTGTGTCTCCCTCTCTCTCTGCCCCTCCCCCACTCACGTGGTCTCGGTCTCAAAAATAAACATTAAAAAAAATTTTTTTTAATAAAAAATGTTTTCTTTAATGTTTTCAGTGTGAAGTAACAACTGTATCACATGAGCCTAATGCAGCTTCTCTTGGAAGCAGCGGACAGTTGCTGCCTGGCGTGCAGTCACGCTCTGTTCCCACAAAGCTTTGCAGGCCAAGGACAAACCACACAGCCAGTTTTTAAATGACGTTCTTTTGTAATCATCCAAAAATCAGAGAGAGAAAAGATAACTCTATTTTAGATGGCACTAGAAGACTTGGGCGGTCCCAAACTATAATCCACAAAGGATGAAAGCAGATGAAAGCGCTCTGAGGATTCTCTTCACTGGGTGAAGTTTGGGGAGGGTGGCGGGGAGGTGATCCAAAGCAAGCCGATTCACCCCAAAGAACCTTTTAACCATCTCGGCCACTGGAGGCATCGGGAAGGGCGGAGGCAGAGGCGGGGCACCGGTGAAAACAGGCCTGGAAGAGCAAGCAATCTGGTTCCTCACCAGCTTCCCCACCCCCATGGCCACAACCCCCTGGAGACCAGAGGCAGAGGTGGGGGTGAGGCACCAAAGAACACGGGGATTAAGTCAGGTCTTCATAACTAAGAGCAAGGCTGCCGGCACCCAGAATGTTCCCAAAGAGCTGTAGATAGACTGTTTGGGGATCCAACCACCCCTTGGCAAGCTCGTGGGCGTTCTCAACAGGCTTTTGTAAAAATGCCTCCCTCCAGTCTGAGCAGTCAACGATGGGATATCTGGATGTGTGGGAAGCGGAGGCTGACGGAAACAAAGTAGAACTCTGAGGAGTCACTAAGCAAGAAGAGGATGCTACCAAAAGAAGAACCTGAGGGCAAGAAAGTGCTCATAAAAGAGCCAAAATTCCCAAAGTCAATTCAAGGAGAGAAACAGAAACAGGGTAAGACACACGAGTAACAGCAAAGAAAAGAAAATCAGTTTAGAAGTTCCAATTTATATAATGGAAGATGTAGAAATAAGAGAAATAAAAAACGTGAGGAGAAAATGGTCAGAAGTAAGAAATCAAGGACGGAAGGATATGAGCTTCCAGATTACAAGCCAGCGAAAAACAGGCACCGAAAAAAATCAGTAATCAAAACAGCAAAACATTTCTCAACAGAAGTAAACCAAGAAAGGAGCCAGGCTACTTCCTACCCATTAGGATGGCTATTACCAAAAGCCAGAAAACAGCACACTGCTGGTGAGGATGTGCAGAAACTGGAACCTTTGTGGGGCGCCTGGGTGGCTCAGTCGGTTGAACATCTGACTCTTGCTTTCGGCTCAGGTCATGATCTCACAGGTTCACGAGTTCAAGCCCCAGGTCAGGCTCTTTGTTGAGAATGCAGAGCCTGCTTGGGATTTTCTCTCCCCCATTCTCTCTCTGTCCCTCCCCCACCCGTACACACTCTCTCTCTCAAAACAAACATTTTAAAAATAATTTTAAAAATTAAAAAAATAAAAGCTATTTTGAAGATTATGATTCTGACTTTGGAGGAACTCCGGTGATCGATTGGCAGTGGAAGGAATCACATGTGAAATTCCTTAAATATTTAAAAACTTAAAAAAATAGTTAAGGTGGTAAATGATATGTATAGTTTACCACAATTTAAAAAAATACACATTAAAAAAAAAAGGAGAAAGGTATCTAGAAAACAAAAACCTGGAAAATGGTGAGGAGGAGTCCCAGAGATCAGCCAGTATAGACCAGAACATAGGCAAGAGGACCCCAGGAAGGGGGTTTCAAAAATGGAGCTAACACACCAGCTCACAGGGATTCAGCTGTGACTGAGGGAAGCCTGAAGGGTGGAGGGGCCCGAGGAGAAGCACAGAAAGAATTAAGCTAATGAAAAAAGGGGCCAGTGAGACTGTCAAGAAAACAGGAAGCTATGTAAAAACGAAGTCAATGAAGAGCTTCGTGGCTCAGCAGGAAGCCACATCACAGGAGCACCATTTCAAGTGTGAAATAACCACACTAAATAGGCTAAATCTTTCACCTGATAAGTCAGCAATGTCTACTTTTTTTTTAATTGCTTTATTTTGAGAAAGAGAGAGAGAGAGGAAGAGGCAGAGAGAGATAGTGAGAGAATCCCAGGCAGTCTCCTCGCCCACAGCACAGAACCCGACGTGGGGCTCGAACCCACAAACCGTGAGATCGTGACCTGAGCTAAAACCAAGAGACGCTTAACCGACTGAGCAACCCAGGTGCTCCAATGTCTACTTTGTTGAACCAGAAGTCAACAATACAAATATTTGAAAACATGAAGTAAATTCCTGAAGAAACAACAGAAAGCGTTAAGAATGGCCACCCTGGGGGTGGGAGGAGGATGCTGAGGGGGCATCTGTCTGCTGTCTTGGGGTCCTAATACTTTTGACCGTATCTGACTCTGCTTTTAAACACCGGACGTACGTCACTTTCATTAAAAGTCACGAAAACAACAGTGAGCGGGTTCAGGATGGCCACACGCACCTCACCAGCAAAGAAGACCATTCCCTGTATCTCCTCAGCGAGGATATCGTAGGCTTCTCCGCTCCCTCCCGTCTTCACGAAGCTGTACGCCATCTGGATCCAGGGGTCCGTGCTCCACCGAGTGACAAAATACTTCGTGGGGTCGGGGACCTCCTGTGTGGGGCGGAGGGAACCAGGAGCCGGGATCAAAGAGGGGCCTAGACGTGCGCAGCCAGAGCACAAATCTACACTCCCGCCTCCTCTGGAGACAGAGTTAATCCTCTTAGACTCTGCTGTGGCCCCTCTGCCCCCTGCAGCTCCCCCCGGGCCCCCCCCACCCCCATTTGTGCAGCTTCCTCCATCTCCCGCCCCAACCCTGCAGCCTCCCCCACGGCTCACTTCCACCCTTCATCCTGCAGGAGACTTTATCGTCGCCAGAGACTGGCGTGTGCCCGGGGGACGGTGGCGGAGGGGTGCCTGGGCCAGAGTGGAAGGGGCGGTGCTGGGACCTCAACTTGCGATTCTCAGCAGGCTGCTCCAAAGGAACAGCCAGATGAGGCCATGTTTCACGTTCACTAAGTTTTGAGTCAGGTGAGCCCTGACGAGCACCACCATGAAAAACAGTTCCACGGAGGGCGCCTGGGTGGCTCAGTTGGTTCAGTGTCCGACT